CAATTTAGACTTTAATTTCAAGAAATTAAAGTCTGGGGTCGAATTGCAATTCTTAGAAGTTAATTTGGTCAAATCAGAAGTTTAATTGTATAAATATTAAAATTTGATGGGTAATTAGGGACTTGATTGAAAAAATCTAAAACCAAACACCAAACTTAAAAAATGTGTGAATGTTCGGGCTTAAATTGACTAAATCAAGGGTCAAATGGAAAAAAAAATTAAAAGTTTTTAAGGATGTATAAATTCAAAATCAATGATTAAAATGAAAAATACGATCAACTTAAGGGCTAGCAATTAAGTTTGACAGGGTGACATTACATGAAATTAAAAGTTTAGAAGCAATTATAAGAGGAATTATAAGAAATTGCAAGAACAAGAATTTAATCAAAATTTATCAATCCTAAATTAAAAACCCTAAACAACGCATCTTTCAGACTTAATAAAGAAAATGAGAGTGATATGTTGTTTGGTGGACTGACCTCTATTTTGATAATTTTGGTTGATTAAGTTGGAAACTTCAAATGAATGAATGTGGAACTATAGATCTTTAGATGACATATATGCATCTCTTATAACAACTTCAGGAGGTCCCAGGTGACAATGACATCAAAATTGCTCCAATGAGACCTCAAAAGTAGCCAACTTAGTCAGTTATAACCTAAACACAATTATTCAATCACTGACTTTCTTTTCATGTGTTCATACATAACCATCAATCCTTTAATATTTTTATATTAAAACGTGAATGATGTGTCATCTACCCTTTATTAAAAAAAAATAACATAGGGAACACATCATCTATGGCCTGGTTTTCGATGACTAGATGGTTGCCATAAAGTCGAGCCATGGGTTTTTTCCCTAAAAAAACAATTTGTAATCTGTTTTCAAGCTAAATAACTTATAAAACATCCTAAACATCTTGATAATCTCATCTAAGGTATCAAATAACCCAAAAATAGTATCAAAATCAAGCTAAATAACTTATAAAACATTGTAAGTATCTTGATAATCTCATTTAAGGCATCAAATAAACCAAAAATAGTCTCAAAATAAACCTTAAAAAAAAACTTTTTGAGTTTAGATTTATCATCTGAAATAATGAGATAGATAAAGAAAATCTAAGTGAAACTTCTCTTATAAAATGAAATCATTGACATTAGAATCAATTTTTTATGGTTGAAATTAATGTCTACCAAGAGTTTTTCTCTTTTGAACTGGAATTTAGTCATTTTTTCTCAAACCAAGGATTAAAAATAAAAAAATAAATTTTTAGATCAAAATTGAATTTTTTTTTTTAAATATTAGGAACAACAATATTATCATTTTAAAACTATGATTACAAAGTAAACTTTTCTCTTCAAATTTAGAACTACCACCAATTTTCTCTTCTTTTTTCATTTTGTTTTTCTTTTCTTTGAGTCTTGACCTTCCCTAACTTAAATTTATCATCAATTTGGTTGAATAAAGATAGAATAAAAATAATGTTTATGGTGAAAAAAAAAACAAAGCATTATCACAAGCCAAAATGTATTGTTTCTTGATCATCAAGGCTACTTTCCACGATAATTTTCTCATGTACTTTATTGTTTTTTATTAATCAAATGCATATATAGTTATCAATAATTATTAATAAGTTGTCATTTATCTTATATAGGCATATTTTTAGAGTAAGGTAGTGTTTAAGAGTGTGGTAATGGTTGCTTTTCGAAGTGTTTTTCACTCTGAAATACATGAAAATAATATTTTTTATTTTTTAAAAATTATTTTTGACATCAATATATCAAAATAATCTAAAGACATAAAAAAATTAATTTCAAGGAAAAACATTTCAAGAACATCACAAAACATGGTTTTAAGTTGAGTTTTAAAAAAAAATAAAAAGAATTTAAAGAAGAAATTGGATCCTCATTCTTTTGATCATGGTTTTTAGACCAGGTCCAGGTTTTGACTCCAAGCAGCTCTTAGGTTATAGCTCGAGTAAGTTGATCAGGGTTACCCGAATCAACTGATTTTTTTTATTTTACATGAACATTAAAATTATATATATATATATATAGGAAATAAAATCAACGAGTTTTGAAAAGAATTAACAAAAAAATTTAGTTCTCATTCCTTTGATCATGATTTTTAATTAATTTTTTTTTGTTTAATCCCTTGACATTTAGTTTGTTGATGATTTTTCTTTATGATTTTTTCATCTTCGCCTTCTATAATGTGACGCTAACCTTATAACTAAGATCACAAGTTTAGAAGGATAACTTTAGTTGACTTCTATTTTTTAGCGTATTTTTTTAAATTTTGTTTTTCAACATTTGGTTAGTTACAAATTAGCCTATGTTATTTTTTATTATTTTTCTTTTTCTAAGTTTATCTTGATCTCATGTCTCGAGTCCTAGATTTGATGGGCTAACCCGAGTTAACTCTGATTTTTTTTTATTATCACTTTTTTTAATCCTTAGATTTGATTTGATTGCATTAACCAATGAAATAACCAAATAGCATACCTTTATGGAATCTTAGCTGAATCTCATATGTAAAGCTTATAAATGTGTGTGGATAACACGAGTACTTAAAATGTGTGCGGGAGATATAAGCAACAATCTCACACCTAACCTGTCAAATTAAAACATTAGAAAAGAGAAGAGCATATGAAAACATCAACATTAATGCAATACGCACAGAAAGAAAGTTTCAATAGTTAAAAAATGCAAATAAGGCTTTACCCTTAGCTTTGTAGTGTAATCATCATGTCGTCGCCCCCAACATTTTACAAAACCAATTAAAGAATGGCTCGAAACGACATTTAGTTTTATTGGAGATAAAGAGTTTATTTAGAAACAAACTGTATTTTTAAAAAAATTAGATTGTTTTTTTTAATATATATATATATATATTCAGATTATTTTGATGTGTTAATATTAAAAATAATTTTAAAAATAAAAAATATTATTTAAATATATTTCTAAATAAAAAATCATTTTAAATTATAATTGTTATCACACACCTAAACACTAAAATTATATAGCTAGGAAAGACCATGGTAACCTGGTGTGTCCGCGCAATGAGGAAACCATTCATTTCTAACCTAAGGGAATTTCCCTTATTAAGTCTAGGTCACAGTTTTTTTTAAATCCTAACTTCTCATGTTAATCCGATTTCCCTTATTAAGTCTAGGTCACAGTTTGTTTTCCTTTATCTCAACTTCACAAATTTGTGATGAAGTGGATCTAAATTAAATGTCATTAAATCCTTTTTTTAAAAAAAACATTTATAAAATTATTTTTTATAATATCAGCCGCCGGTATTATGTATTTGCAACCCTCCATAATAGTTTTGGCTCACAATATAAGAAATTCTTGAGCACACTTAAAAAAATTCTTTTACTAATCACTACACCTTTTTTTTACTATAAAACATTTATCGGTGAAGAGCAAACCACCGAGCTAGTGATAGCTGCACATCATCATGATTGAGCAAATAAATGTTAAGGGTGTTACTGGTTTATAAGTTCATTTTACGAGTACAAGTCTATCCTGGGTGGTTGGGCTCATAATACATGTTTTCGTTTCATGAGAATCCTTGCTATACTTCTAATTGATTATAATTTCATCACTTAATCATTCTAGAGAATTACTATTTATAATTTTAAATCCTAACTTCTCATGTTAATCCTGGACATGAATAACAGGGGTTGAAACCAAGCTGAATTTAAAAACAAAATAGGTAAGGTAAAAACTTAGATTGACTTGAAAAAATTAAGTTAAAAATTCAAATACAATTCATTAATTTTTTAATTTTTTTAATAATAATAATATCATTTTATTTTATAAAAAAATTAGGGTTCAATATATGACAATCCAAATCAAAACTTAGTAACCTGTTCAAAACCTTAGATTAGGTTGATCACTAGACTAAATTTAAAAGTTATGATTACATTAGAGTTTCATCTAAAAAAAATTACTTGTACTAAAATAATGTTGATATCAAAAGAAATTATTTAATATTATTACTATATCTGAGTCAATGGATTAAACTTCAAATCCCCTAACCATACTCATTAACTATACTCATTGTATAACTTGAATTTTAAATTAAATTGTATAGAAGTTATTCTTGGTATGATCCTTATTTTTAGTATGATACTTTTAACTTGAGAGTTTAAAAATAAATTAAATAATTAATAAAAATATAGTTTAATTTTAAGATAGCTAAATACCAATTCAATGCTAGAATGTTTTTTTCAAAATCATGATAATCTTCTATAAAAAAAATCAAAAGCATCAATACAAAACTGAGATATTTTTATAAAACTATAATAATGTTATATAAAAAAATTTAAAATAAATAATAAATTTTAATTTTTAATAAATTTAATGTTGAAATATAAAAATATTATTATTATTGATCCAACAAATAATAACAATGTGAGGAGGGTAACAATGTTTCTCTCGATTAGTTCTTGTTCAATTAATAGAGGATTCCTATTGATAAAGATGCAACTCTGAAATGTGAAAGAAACCAGCCTCGATTATAATGTTATTAGCTCTTCCAGTATATACGAAAGTGTAGTTCGAAAGTACAAAAAGATGCGGCATGTCTTAGAAGAGAGTGCCATTAATTCCCACGTAGATTTATATATATATATATATAGACACACACACACACACACACACACATATATATATATATAAGAGTAATTGTTTGCCTGGCACTCCTTGCATCAGAATGCTTAATTAATGGAATATCTAGAAACATTTTACAGGGCCAACTCCTACGCTTCTAAAGGGGTGGTAAAAACCGATGTTTACCCGGCTCTCATAATATTGTTGAACACTTCTTGTCGTCTCGAGCAGTTGGCAAATTCAAGATTAGACAAGGTCAGCCCTCGTTAACCTTAATTAATCCTCACTCAACCTTGAGATTAACACTATAAATACATGGTATCATAGATATCATCCCAACCTCATCAAAGCTATCCAACAATAATCGTCTGCCTTTCAATGTCTTCCTCAAGACTCACCTCCTCTCTCTGTTTGCTAACTTTTGCTCTACTTCTCCAAAATATTCTTGGAACTGACCCTCTCTTCAGCAGGTGTTCCAGCAACGCGAACTCAACTGCCACTAGCTCTTATATAACAAGCTTGAATGTCCTCATGGGTTCTCTCTATCGTCTTGCTCCGGTGGAAGGCTTTGCTCTTGGTTCCTTAGGTCAGAACAACCAGGACCGACCATATGGGCTCGTTCTTTGTAGAGGAGATGTCCCATCCTCAGATTGCAGAACCTGTGCTGCTAATGCAACCAGGGAGATCCGCAAGCGCTGCCCAAATAGCAAACGTGCAATCATAGCGTACGATAACTGTCTTTTGAAGTATTCTGACTCGGACTTCTTTGGCCAGATTGATGACCAAAACAAGTTCTACATGTGGAATGTGAATAACGTGAGCAACCCAGTGCTATTTAATGAGAAGACTACCGAGCTGTTGAGCCAACTAGCAGACAAGGCTTCTTATAACTCATCAAAATTGTATGCTGCCGGAGAGATGGACCTCCTTGAAGGATCGATGAAACTTTATGGGATGGCTCAGTGCTCGAGGGATCTTTCTAGTATTGATTGTAAGAAGTGTCTTGACGGTGCTATAGGTGAACTTCCAAGAGTTGCTTATGGAAAAGAAGAGGCTAGGGTTGTCGGTGGGAGTTGCATGGTTATTTATGAGATATACCCCTTTGTTAAGGCTTAAACTCGTATGCCATTCTAGGGTTTCGAGGATCAATGTCACTACAAGAAATAATTGTTCTAGGAACACATGTAATTTTATTTCCTTGATTGTTCAATAAAATGTTTATTCGATGAATATAGTTCCGCACGCAAGTATCGCTGTGAAAGCTGGATAAACAATTTGATGCAATGTTAAATTAATGTAAACTTGACATGAGGCATAACGTATAACTTTTTAATCATTCAAATGGAAATTTATTTTAAACAAAATATACTAAACATTTTATTTGAATCAATTAAACGAATTAACTAAATTGTGATTGAATGGACCAGGTTTAATCATATCTATAGTTTAAATGATTCAATAGAAATCTAATCCAGCCTCATCACAGATATCTTGAAATGCAAGCAGAAGATACGTTAAACAATAGCAAGAAAAAATCACAAGATAAAGCACAAAAGATTAATGAGCAAAGAAGGTTACAAATTTTAATCTTGAATTCAAAATTTTATTCTTTAAAATTTAAAACATAACAATTTTAAAAAGTTAATCAATCATGATCATTTTATACTTTTACTTAAATCTAAACATGTTTTAATAGTGTATAAAAAATATATGTTAGACCATCAATATAACTTGGTTAAACAAAATATTTATCTAATAAAATTAGATTATCACCCTACAAACATGACTACATTATATTTGGTTTCAACTCAAACACTAATTAGACTTAAAGTATATAATTTTGCAATATGTTGAAAAAAAATAATTACAAAACCAACAAGTTATTTCTTTTTTTTCTTTTTTTCTTTTTTTTTGCAACTCAATCCATCCATAAATATTCCATTTATAGTAAAAGAAAATGAAACTAAACTAGACAATTTGATATAATTTGATATGATGTAACTGTACAAATGAAACTAAATGGACTCAAAAATAAATGAGATTGGATTGTACTGTTCTTATATTATATTTGTTGCATATTGAACAAAATCAAATAAACAATAGATGCTATGAAAAAATAAAAAATAATAATTTGAGTCCATGATATTGGACAAGCTTGTTTCCAACTTTCATGATTAGATAAGAATTTTATCTTATAAATAACTTTGAATAGTATAAAAATCAAGATTTATTCCATCTAAAATATATATATTAAACTCTTCACAACTTCTAATGTCTTATCCAAAATATACACTAAAAAAATCACAAATTAACTTCCTTCCTCATGTCTTGTACAACTCCAAAACCAAAACAAGGATTTTATTTGAAGCAAGCCATAGCTATTGAGGCCATTATTTTTTCATAAAGCAGTGTTTCTATTCATACAAACGGCCATTGTCCTAATGGCCCATTAGGCCTTAATCTACAGAATACAGTGCGTAAATAACACTGTCTTACACTTTTATTGCCTAGCTACGACCTTTCTTACCAGTTTCCACGAAGGGGTAGAGTTCGTACCTAACATTAGAACTCCCACCCACAACCCTTCCTCCTCGTTTTCCATCACTGCAGCTTGGAAGTCCACCTACGGCAACATCAAGGCACTTCTTATAATCCATACTAGAAAGATCTCGAGTGCATTGTGCCAACCCGAGCAGTATTTTGGAGGCACCAAGGTCTAGTTCCCCTGTGGCATAAAATTTGGTGTCGGCGTAAGCTTTACCAGATAAACTGCTTAATAAAGCCTTAACTTTCATGTTAAAAGATGTGGGATGGTCTACAGCTTGCGCATTGTACATGTACAACTTGGTTTGATTATCAATGTCCCCAAAGAACTTTGTACTGGAGTACTTGACCATGCAATTGTCATTCCAAAAAGTTTTGCATTCTGTGCTCGACACATCTCCGTCGCATAAGGCTAATCCATTTACACGGTTCTGGCCTTGGCCAATTGAGCCAAGTCCAAAACCTGTAGGAGGGACTTTGGCAGACAAGAGAAGTAGCAAGTCATTCAAGTTACCGCGATAAGGGTTATTACAAGCGCCAGTGTAGTTTTCTTGGGTAAAACAGAAATGATAAAGGGTTCATCACAAATTGCTACATGGAGCAAAAGGGAAAGGAGCAGGTAGAATAATGGGATACATCTTGATAAATACATGTTGGATTGATCAGTACTTGAAAGCTTGGTTATATATGTGTCTACTGGAGGGGGACTAACTCTCTCTATATAGCGAGAAGGTTTGTATTACCTTGCCTAATTGGATTAGGAGTTGATTATTGAAGATATTTAAGGAGTATCTTATCAACTTCAATTTAACTTAACGATAATCTCTCATAGGAAATTATGGTGATCGCAAGAAACAAGTTCTCTTTAATGTGTTAATTCTCATGAGAAAGATAGGTGTGTGTTGATACATGATATTTTTTTTAAGGAGTTTTTCAATTAAAAAAATTAAAATGATAGTTTTTTAATATTAACACATAAAAAAACATAAAAAATCAATTTAATTTATTTTCAAATAAAAAATTTAAAATAAACTTTTTAAAAACAAAACTTATCACAATATGAAACAGACCATATTAATATTTAAATATTTTTCTAAAAATATCTTTATTATTAAAGAAAAAGAAAATTCATGTCCTTAAAATTTTCAAAAATGAATAAATTGTTTTTTTTATTAATGTAAATGCGCGAGACAACTTATACATATCATAATTAATTTTATAAATATTAAAATTAATTATTATATAAATTTTCAATAATTATCATATAAATAACTATAACTAAACTCGAAGCTTATAACATAAAAAGATAAAATTGCTTGTTAATTTAGCTTAATTTTGAAACGTCAAGTAATTGTTAGGCTGCATTTGACTGGGCCCGTGTTGATCCCATCGAAGCACAGAGGTTGAACACTGAATATGCGCTTCTAAGATAGAGTGGATAATTTAAGAAAAGAAACCAACTACCATCACTGAAAGGGATCCAGTTGATTTCCACTACGTACCCATGTCTTCGAGTCAGCCTTCTATACAAAGGTTGAAACTTTGCATCCATTGACCTTGCAGTCAAATTTGGCATTCAGAATAGTGTCGGGAAAAGTACGAGATTCTGGCTCTAAGATTAATCATTTGTATCTCTGTGTGTTGTCAAGGATGTTTTTGAAGCTAGCAGGTGTTTGAAGCCTGTCGTCAACTTACTACCACTAGCTTTATCAATATATTCACTCGATTATAATAAGAAAAAAGAACATTAGATTTGATTGCATTAACCAATGAAATAATTTCATTTCATTGTACAGCTATCCAAATCGTTCCTTATGGAAACAGTAACCTCTATGATGAGCAATTTCATCAATTCCTCTGATAATTTGGCACAGACAAAATTAACAAAATTATATAGTAACGTAATTCAGACAAAATTAACAAAATTATATAGTAACATAATTTCACCTATGAACACTTTACCTCCAGAGATAGGTTTATATGTATGGAACCAATCTTGATTAGGAGTCATATGCCATGTTGCTCCTAAATCCATTAGCCAGATCTCAGTGAGCTCTTATGTATCTGTAGAGATTGTCGCTGCTTCACTATATAAAACATCTCCATCTTCTGAGGTGCTCGCAACACACCCTTGAGATTTTGATGACTTTGCAGAATTCTCTATACCCTTTTTAAACCAACAATCCTATTTGAAGTGCCCTTTTTTGTCACAGTTGTAGCATTTCACAGCCTTCTTACTTCTTGATTTGGACCTCCCCTGCCTTTGACTCCCACTAGAGCCACGCTCCGTTGATCTTCCTCTTGACACCAATAATGCCTCTGCTTGGTTTGAACTGTTTCTGTCTCCTTTGTTTTTGCGCCTATTTTCTTCTTCCAAGATAGCGGCTGCAACATCATCGAAGACTAGATAATCTGAAAGGATATTATTTGTCAAGTTGATAATGAGCTGATCATACGAATCAGGAAGACTTTGAAGTAGAAGCTCTGCACGTTCATTTTCCTCTATTTGCTGACCCAATGTAGTGAGTTGTGAAAATAGAGTTCTTATTGTGTTGATATGGTCAGTCACCGATGTGGTTTCTGCCATTCGAAGGGTATAAAGTCTCCGCTTTAAGAAAATCTTATTGTGCAAAGACTTGGACTCGTATAGCTTTGTTAGAGTCTCCCATATCTCCTTAGCTGTTTTCTTCTCCGCCACACTTGATAATACTTCATCGGCTAATGCTAAATGTATGTTAGCAATAGCATTGCCATCCATCTCATTCCATTTTGCATCATCAGTGATCTCCGCGGGCCGATCCCCAATTGCTGCCAAGCAATTATCTTTCCTTAAGATTGCCTTAATTCTCATTTTCCACAATGAGAAATTGCTCCCATTAAACCTCTCAATCTCGTACTTTGCTGCCATTGTATTCACCAAGATCTATTCAGCTATCACCGTTTCACAGATCTGTAACGTATATAGAAATAGTATCGTGTGAATAATACTTCACTAAGTAAGTTCCCAGGAAAGATTGGAGGGGTCACAAACGGTCCCGCTTAAAACCCAATCTCCTTAGACAGAACTTCCTAGACTGTATTTAATCACCGCACTAACTTTCTATATACGCCAACAG